TCACCCACAGCTTCAACCTCTAACGTCCTCAGGTACAGCTCAGACCTAGACCTCTTGCCTCATCCAGATTTGGGACTCCCTGCTGGAATCTCCATCTTTGTGTCCTCTGCCCTGAACTCAACCTTTCCCCGAATTCTTGTTTCTTCACTGTGCCCTGCTACTTCACCTTTCACTCGGTTCCCTGAACCAGAAACTCTAGTTCCAGCCAGTCTAGATTCCTCCCTTTCCCTTAAGCCCATGACCGATTGGTGACTAAACTGTGTCATCGTTACCCCTTAAAGTCTCTCAACCCTGTCTTTATTGCCCCCTCCCTCTTCCCCTTACTGCTGTTTGCTTTAGTTTACACACTTCATTTTATGCCTCCTCTGTTGTAAGAGCCTCTTATCAGCTCACCCCCTTCCTGTTCTTGCCTCTGTAGTCTTGCTCCATTGCAGCCCCTTCTGAGCTGTGTCCAACTCTGCTTATGTCACTCCTGTATATCAGGAATCTTGCCTGCCTCCCAGTTATTTCCAGGGTCAAGTGCCAACCCTTGGCAGGCCACCTGGGCCCTTCATCCTGGGGGGCCTGGCTCCATCTCCTTCCCTCTCTGGCTTCTCTGCCCCACTCCATGCACACTGGGTTTTGGACAATAAACCCCTTTTATTTGCCCCAAACCCACTTACTCTGCTCTTTTTTGGCCTCTGGGTTTTGCGCCTATGGTTCCCTCTGACTAGAATGTTCTTTCACCTCTGTGAGCCTAGCAATCCTCTACTGGTCCTTGAAGATCCAGTTCAAGTGCTGCCTCTTCTGGGAGGCCTTCTGCGCTCTGCATCCCTTGTTCACACCTCCGTTACCCGCACTTCCTACGAGGCAGTGGTGTGCATCTGTCTCTCCTGCCGGAGTTTCTTCTGTATCCTCGGCATATTGCTTAGGGACTCTGTACAAGACGGATGACTCTTCTCATAGCGGAGAAGACTTATTGGCAGGAGGAGAGAGGGGAGCTGCTCCGGTGACCACAGACAGTGCCCGGGAGGACAGTGCCCAGAGGACAGAGGAGTGGTTGAAGCAGATGCCCTGGAGTAGCCGCTTCTGTGGTGGGGGCTGCCGAGAGGCCACGCTGGTGACTGGATAAATGTGGCAATACCATGTGGGAGGCAGCCCTATTGGTTCCTCGTGGAATTCCTCAGAGGCTCGGGGTGGTGGCTCCAAAGGTCAGAGTCTTCAGACATTTGATATCTTTAGCCCTCAAAGTAGTGTAAGAGAACTTTCCAGAAGTCTGGTGCTAAAGTCCAGTGAGCACAATCTTCTCCTTCCTTTTGCTATCCTTGCTAGTTTTTACCCAACCTCTGGGTCTCAGGGGGACAGAAGAAAAGTGGGCTCCATTTGTTCTCTGTGTCTGTGAGCCCCACACACTGTGGCCGGGACTGGGGAACTGAGGTCTTCATCCACCTTGCGTTCGCGCCTCGACTCTGTGAAATGAATGGAAGGGCCAGCACGCTCTTCCCCTTCTCAGTGGACGCACACTCGAAAGACTGTCAACCCACAGTCTTTCTCTGAGCCTCTGCCCCACCTCCCCCGACCCTTAGTCTGCCTTGATCATTCGTCTCTGAGCCCAACATGGGCTGCTTCTGAAATGCAATCCTTCCAGCAGCACAACCACGGACCACGGATGATGTCTTATAGGTGCAACTATAACAGCTTATCTTCCCTGCCTCCCCTCTCCACCCTGGTATCTGACACCCCAGAGCCCAGTCTGTGGTTACCACCGTCTTCCTACGTAACAGTTGGGTACGTAGAAGTGTCATGGTGGTGGTGATGGTAGGAGTGGTGTAAACTGGAACATGGAGGTTGAGAAAAGACCTTGAAATACTTGTGCCACCACATTTCTTGAACTGAGATTCCACTTTCTCTCTCTCTTCACACACACACACACACACACACACACACATGCAC